TAAAGCATCCCCCACATGATTCTGAAGTGCAGCAGTTTGAGAACCATTCGTCTAGAGCATTGGTCCTCCACAGTGGGAAGGCAGCTGGTTCCCCCCAGGGGACGTGTGGTAATGGCCAGAGACATTTTTGGTTGTTGCCACTGGAGCTGCTATTGGTATCTAGCGCATAGAGACCAGGATGCACAGGACGGCTCCGCATCACACAAACACAATATGTCTGTTGTGTCAAGGGTGAGAAGCTCTCCAGGGACACATGTGCCCCAGGACCTGGAGACTTGTCTAAGGATGTTCATGGTAGCGCTGTAACAGCAAAAACAACCCACCTGTGTGTGTGTGTGCTCAGTCATGTCCACCTCTTTGTGACCCCATGGACTGTAGCCCACCAGGCTCCTCTGTCCATGGGAGATTTCAGGCAAGAAGACTGGAATGGGTTACCATGTCCTCCAGGGTATCTTCCTGACCCAGGGATTGAACCCATATCTCCTGCATCTCCTGCAGTGCAGGCTGATTCTTTACTGCTGAGCCATTTTGAAATGAGATCTTTTTTCACATTGGCAACTTGTGATCGTCATGAGGGAGGCTGCCCTGGGTGCCCACAGAATGTCGTCCTCCATATATGTCCATGTCCTAACCCCTGAACCTGTGGATATATTACATTACATACGGCAAAAGGGAACTATGCCACCAAAAGGTGGCAGATGGAATTATGGTTGCTCATCAACTCAGTGTATGTATAAACAGCACGTCTTCTTTATCCATTCCTCTGTCAATGGACAATTAAGGTTGCTTCCATGCCTTGTCTGTTATGCATACTGCTGTTATGAACACAGGGGTGCATGTACTTTTTTGAATTATAGTTTTGTTCAGATACAAGGAATGGAAGATTGCTAAAGCATCCCCCACATGATTCTGAAGTGCAGCAGTTTGAGAACCATTCGTCTAGAGCAGTGGTCCTCCACAGTGGGAAGGCAGCTGGTTCCCCCCAGGGGACGTGTGGTAATGGCCAGAGACATTTTTGGTTGTTGCCACTGGAGCTGCTATTGGTATCTAGCGCATAGAGACCAGGATGCACAGGACGGCTCCGCATCACACAAACACAATATGTCTGTTGTGTCAAGGGTGAGAAGCTCTCCAGGGACACATGTGCCCCAGGACCTGGAGACTTGTCTAAGGATGTTCATGGTAGCGCTGTAACAGCAAAAACAACCCACCTGTGTGTGTGTGCTCAGTCATGTCCACCTCTTTGTGACCCCATGGACTGTAGCCCACCAGGCTCCTCTGTCCATGGGAGATTTCAGGCAAGAAGACTGGAATGGGTTACCATGTCCTCCAGGGTATCTTCCTGACCCAGGGATTGAACCCATATCTCCTGCATCTCCTGCAGTGCAGGCTGATTCTTTACTGCTGAGCCAAACACACCTGATGCAAATCAAATAAAAGGAGAAATCCACATTCGCATATTCACAGCACAAATACCTCAGAGAACAGCTCGTGGGGAGACAGGCATGAACACACCAGCAGTGAGAGAGGGCAGAGCCTCCCCTGGGGGAGGTGGGGTCTCCAGGAGTTGTGTCTGTCTGCCCAGGGAGCCCTGGAGAGTTTACAAGTCTCTCTCTACTCTGGGTTTCCGGGTTAAGTTTGACAATTCATGGGAAATTTTATCCTATTTAGTCGTTTTTAAGTAATTTGGGCAACTCCAGTAAAGAAAAAAATCAGTATGCATGAAAATATTTCCTGAAGCAGGATCTATATATTAGCAGGAAAAAAATTAGAAGCTGTGTAAATATCCAGAAATGGAAGAACGATTAAGAGATTATGGTACATCAACTCAATTGAATGTTATGCAGCCATTAAAAAGGATGATTATGAAGGTGATTTAGAAACATGGGAGATGTTTGGGATGTGATGGGAAGTAAAAAAGAACAGGAAATAAACAGCACAAACACAGTGATTACAACTCAGAAAAATGCGTTGGCCTGTGGACAAATACTGGAAGGATTTGCAGAAATAAAAACTGTCGTAATTAAGATGCTAGAGTTATGGGTGATTTTTTTTCCAAGATTTTTTTAACTCTTTTTTTACACTTAAAAGTAGATATCTTTTGGGCTCCCCCAGTGGCTCAGTGGTAAAGAATCAGCCTGCCAGTGCAGGAGATGCAGATTCGACCCTGGTGGGCAATGTCCCCTAGAGAAGGCAATGGCAGCCCACTCCAGTATTCTTGCTGGGAAATCCCATGGACAGAGGAGCCTGGTGGGCTACGGTCCATGGGATCACAGAGTTGGACATGACTTAGTGACTAACAACAACAGATATCCTTGGAGACAGCTGCCCAGCCCAGAACCTTCTCTGAATTCTGTGTCCCTTCCCAAAAGGGTACATTCCCCAGTCCCATTTACCTTTTATCCTAGCCTGGTCACCTAATCCAAGCTGGACCAATCAGATTCTCTGAACTGAAATTGGCTAGAGAGATGCAAATCCTTCTGAGATGGTCCTTTTTTTTTTTTTTTAAATAAAATCTACATAACATAAAATTAATTTTTATTTTAACCATTTTATTTTTTTCTTTCCAGTTTCACTGAGATATGATTGACAGAAGATTAAGGTGTACAGCATAATGATTTGACTTATATACATCATGGAATGATTCCCACAACAAATTTAGTGAGCATTCATCACTGCATATAAATTAAAAAAGAAGTAGGAAAAGAATTTCCCCTTATGATGAGAACTCAGGATTTACTCTTTAATAGCAGCTTTCATATGGGACATACAACAGTGTTAACTATATTAATCATGTTGTACCTTACAGCCCTAGTACTTGTTTGTCTTACAAGTGGAATTTTTACCTTTTGACAACCTCCATCCCTGCTTCTGGTAACCACCAATCTGGTCTTTTTTTTCTTTGAGTTTGTTTTTGAAGTATAATTAACCTACAACACTGTGTTAGTTCCTATTACACAACATAGCGATTCAGTATTTCTCTACAAAATCACCACGGCAAGTCTAGTTACCATCTGTCTCCATACAAAGATATTACATAACTATTGACTATATCCCTCACACTGTACATTTCATACGTGTGACTCATTCATTTTTTAACTGGAAGTTTGTGCCTCTTTCAGCCATTTTAAAGTATGCAACTTGAGAGGTTTTAGTACATTCATGTTGTGCAGTCATCACCACTGTATAATTCCAAATCATTCCCATCAGCCAAAAAGAACTCCACACCCATGAGCTGTCACTCCCAGTTCTCCCCTCCCACAGTGCTAGGTAATCATTAATTTACTTTCTGTCTGTATAGAATTTTGTATAGACTTGTTCTAGAGATTTCACATAAATAGGATTATACAAAACATGATCTTTTGTATCTGGCTTCTTTCACTTGGCATAATGTTTTCCAGACTCATCCATGTTGCAACATGTATCAGTATTCCATACCTATTGATGGCTGTTAGTATTCCATTTTGTAGATATATGACATTGGGTTTATTCCATTCATCCAGCCATGGATGTTTGGGCTGTTTTTAATTTTGACTTTGTGAATAATGCTGCTGTGAATATTTGTATTCACGTTTTACCGTGAACATATACTTAGCAGTGGAGTTGCTGGGCCATGTGGTAGCTCTGTGTTTAACTTCTTAAGGTGCTACCAAAATAATTTCCACAACGGCAGCACCATTTGGGGCTTCCCTGGTGGCTCAGACAGTAAGGAATCCGCCTGCAATGCAGGAAACCCGGGTTCAGTCCCTGGGTTGGGAAGATTCCCCTGGAGAAGGGAATGGCAACCCACTCCAGTATTCTTGCCTGGAGAATCCCATGGACAGAGGAGTCTAGTGGGCTACAAGTCCATCGGGTCGCAGAGTCGGACATGACTGAGTGACTCAACACACACACACAGCACCATTTTACATCCCCACCGTGTGTGACAGTTCCAATTTCTCAATGTCCTCACCAACACTTACTTGACTGTTGTTACTGTTTTTGTAATTATTATTGCCATGCCAGTGGATATGAAGTGATAGCTCACTGTGGTTTTGATTTGCATTTCCCTAATGACTACTGATGTTGAGAATCTTTTCACATGTTTATTGGTCATATACATATCCTCTTAGGAGAAATGCTTATTCAAATTCCTGTGCCCTTTTTTTAAATTGTGTTGCTTATCTTTTTGGTATCCAATTATAGGAATTCTTTTTACATTCTAGATACTAGATCCTTACCAGATATGTGATTTTCAAGTATCTCTCCCATTCTGTGGATTGTCTTTTCACTTTCTTGATAATGTCCTTTGATGCATGAAAGTTTTTAATTTTTATAAAGTGCACTTTATTTTTATTTTGTTGTTTTTGCTTTTGGTGTCATATTTAAGAAACCATTGCCTAATCTAATGTCATGAAAATTTATACCTATTTTCCCTTCTGAGAGATTTATATTTAGGTCATTGATACATTTTAAGTTAATTTCTGTATATGGTGTGAGATAGACATCTGGATTCATTCTTTTGCATGTGGATATCCAGTTGTTCTGGTCCCATTTGTTGAAAAGTCTATTCTTTCTTCCATTCAATGGTCATAGAAACCTTGTGAGAAATCAGCAGACCACAGATGCATAGGTTTATTTCTGGACTTTCAATTTTCTCCCATTGATCTATAGGTCTGCCTTTTTGTCAGTACCACATTATTTTGGATACTGTGAATTTGTAGTGAGTTTTGAAATCAGGAAGTGTGAAACTAACAACTTTGTTCCTCTTTTTAAAGAACAAACAAAGAAGTAGTTTTGGCTATTCAGGGCCTCTAGCATTTTCATTTTTAATTTTAGGCTGAACTTTTCCATTTCTGCAAAGAGGATTTGATAGGGATTGCATTGAATCTGCATATTCATCTGGGCAGTTTTACCACTTTAACAATATTAAATATTCCAGTTCATGAACACAGAATGTCTTTCCATTTAATTGGATCTTCTTTAATTTCAGTGTTCTGTTTTTTTCAGTGTACATGTGCTAGATGTCCTTGGTTAAATTTATTCTTAAGTATTTTTTTCTTTTTGATACTCTTGTAAATGGAATTGTTTTCTCAATTTCAGTCTTGGATTAGGGCAGTGTTTTGAACCAAGGGAATATGCAGGGAGAAGCAGAGAATGGCAGTTGACACCTGGAGAAAGATAATTATGAACACAGAGAAAAACAGAATCAAGAAATTATATGTGTTCCAGGAGCTGCTTAATTCACTTTTTATACATTAAAACCTCCTATTTATCAGAAAAAAAGGAAATTATATGAAGGGATGCAGCTAAAGATTTTCATGTTAAGTGAAGAAAATCAGAAAGAGAGAGACAAATACCATATGATATCACTTACGTGTGGGATCTAAAAGATAACACAAATGAACCTGTCTGTGAAACAGTATCAAGAACACAGAGAACATACTGGTGGTTGCCAAGGAGGAGGGAGCTGGGAGAGGATTGGACTGGGAGTCTGGGATTCGCAGATGCAAACTGGTATATGTAGAATAGAGAACAAGGTCCTGCTATAGAGCACCAAGAACTACATTCAATATCCTGTGATAAACCACAATGGAAAAGAATGTATACATGTACATAACTGAATCACTGTGCCGCACAGCAGAAATTAACACATTATAATTCAGCCATACTTCAAGAAAGAAAGTATGTGAAAAGGTAGGGAGATGGAAGAGGGATTGAGAACTGTAGTTTAAGCGAATATTAGTAATTAAGCAGTGGACAAGGTTCCTGCAGCAAGGCTGGGGTATCCCGGATAGAGGAGAGCACATGGAACAGGGAACGTGAGGTCAAGCACCAGAGCAGCCTGTCTGGCCTAGGCAGACTCCTTTCAGCAACTGGAGATGCTTCTTGGCCACTTCCTTAGTGAAGGTGAAGTAGTGTGGGCTCAGAAGCCACTGCCAAGCCCTCAGAAAGCTTTGCAAGTCTGTGCCTCGGCAGAAGGAGCCCTGCCTGTTAAGATCATGACAAAGGCTGGCCCCATAAAGAACTACTACCCCTCGGCTTTTTTATACCGTAACACTTGGACCAGACAGTTCTAGGGTGGTTCTGGTATCTAGGCAGCCAGGCACTGGCTTTTCTCCCCCCTTGAACAAAGGACGCTTTGGATTTCCATTCGAGTGGAGCAAAGCCCCACATATTCCTCAGGCCTCCTGCAGTTTTTGCTCCGTGGGGGATATGGCTGGTGTGTGGTATTCTCCCATGAATGCAGGATGGGGTTGGGATGAGAAGGAGACAACAGAAGGCAGTCGGAGCCTCACTTCCTAGGGGAGGAAATCATCTCTCCCAGGAAGATTAACCCATTCTTATCATTAGGCCATTCAGCAGGATCTGTGCAAATTGCTGGGCCAGTTTGCAATGTTGAGAGGTGTTGCAAAGGCACCCCCCTCCCCCACACACAGGGGTGTTACCAAGTGGTGCTCCCTCCAGCGATGGAAGAGGGTGCTTGAATTTGGTTGTGGAGCAAGTGAGAATAGGGTTAGTAACTGATATGGCACCCTGAGCTCCTGCTCCTGAGCTTGTGGGGAAGAGGCCTTCCTTGATGACCCTATCCACAGGGTGAGAGGAAGTCCACGCCGGCCCAGTTATATCACTCCACACAGTTTATTTCCCTTATAGCACTTACCACAACCATTAGTTACGCCGTGGTCTGTTTTCCTTTGTTAGAACGTAAACTCCATGGGGGCACGATCAGATCTGTCGTTCACTGTTTTATCTCTGTCTAGTGCAGGAAACACTCTATTGAATGAGGGAATGAATGAATGAGGGCCAAGGGTAGGGGGACAGGGTGGGCCACGAGCCGCTTGGGAGAGCCCCGTTTGCCGCGTCGGTGAGAAAGCGCTCCAGCAGGCAGCTGGAAGCCTGGGTCCGGAGCTCAGGAAAACGAAGGCCTGCAGCTCTGGGGGCCATCTGTGCAAGCGAGAGCGCCAGGCAGGGGTCGAGACAGAGGCGACCTACCTTGCCAGAAACGACCACTAGGGTACTTCGGAGTCACGCAGATGCCTGCGGCCCTGCCCCAGACACCCCGAGAATCTCTGGAGACGAGCTAGGAATTTGCGCGTGTAACACGTCAGCTGGGTGACTATCATGTTTCTGAGGGCTGGAGAGCTCGGCCCTGGAGGAGAGGAGGGCAGAGGAGGTGACTTTGGGAGAACAGGTGACAGGGCAGGGGCCGCCCCGCCCCTGAACTCACCAACCCGAGCCGCCCCGCCGCCGCTCGGCCGTCCGGGTTACCTTTGGCCGCACTTGGCCTGGCGCCGCGCTCCGCCCCGCCCCCGTCACGAGCTGCTGCACCGCGCCGTGCCTGCGATGCCGGCCTATGAGCTGCGCGAGAAGACGCCGGCGCGGGCGGAGAACCAGTGTGCGGACTTCGTGAGCTTCTACGGCGGCCTGGCTGAGACGGCCGAGCGCGCCGAGCTGCTGGGCCGCCTGGCGCGCGGCTTCGGCGTGGACCACAGCCAGGTGGCCGAGCAGAGCGCCGGCGTGCTCCAGCTGCGCCAGCAGCCGCGGGAGCCAGCCGTGCTGCTGCAGGCCGAGGACCGGCTCCGCTACGCGCTAGTACCGCGCTACCGCAGCCTCTTCCACCACATCAGCAAGATGGAGGGCGGCGTGCGCTTCCTGGTGCGGCTGCGAGCCGACCTGCTCGAGGCGCAAGCCCTCAAGCTTGTGGAGGGGCCGCACGTCCGGGTAAGGCTCCGCCCGGGCCGTCCCCGGACCTCGTAGGGGCGGGGACCGCCCGGGCCGCGCCCCCGCCTAGTGCCCAGGTCTGCTGACCCTTGGCGGCCCTCGCCCCTCAAGCCCCAGACACTCCACCTTCGCTTGCCTTGGAGCCATGTCCACTTCTCCGAGAGTCACAGCCCCTGAACCCTGCCCCCTTCCTTCCCACGCTTTCCGAAAATGCCTCACTCAAGCCTCAGCTCGCTCCAGTCTTGGTAGAAACTTGGCACCCGCTTACTTTCAAGGTGACTGTCACGCCTCGTTCCTGATGAGCATGCTCTATAAAGTTCTCTGTTTTATTATCTTACCTGAGAGATTTCGTCTGTGCGGTACACTTGAATGAGTACCAAACGGAGCATCGGGTAACTTTCTGAAAACCTGGATGGGGTCAACAAAAAGGTAACTTACTTGTAGCACCAGCTGTGTGAGCCATTATCCTGAAAAACCCTGTGAAACGTACAGAGGTGACTAGAACTCGAGGTCACCACCGTCCAGGAGCCCGGGTGCCCTCTATCATCTCTGCCACGTCGCCCAGGGCAGGGCGTTTCACCAGCCCAGGTTCAGCCCTAAAATAGGATTCTAAGTTGTCTCCTTGGGTAATCAGGCACTTAGCAAAGTGAGCCCACTTTAGATGTGAACAAAGAATTTAAGATTTAAATAATGATGACTTGAAAGATGACTGATAGTTGAATATAGTCCTTGTATTCCATTGATATCAAGTATGGACCACTAATTTGCTCTATAGCAAACCAAAAATGCTGTAAACGTTAGAGAAAGTTCTGACAGTCAAAACTTTATCAAGTCCAGTTGGCTTAGGAAAGAAGTGAACACTTAAAAGGATTATGTCCTGATTCCTTTAAGAACTCCTAACACCTGGCATGATGGTTTTCATGTTCATATCCTTACTCTTGCTTGAGGAAGTGATATGTCACCTTTTACAGTAAAGGAAACAGGTCAGATGAGTTCACATGACTTGACCAAGAACTCAGAGCAAATAAGAATGTCTGACCACCATCCAAATCCAAATTTCCTGGGTTCTATATGCCACAGTTTATATCCCCATCATGCTATATGAGTTCTGATGTTTATCAGAAACTTTCTTAGCCTTAGATGCATAAAAACTGGGTGTAGTTAGGATTAATCTCGGTGTGATAATAGAGGCTATGATTTGACTGCTCTTAGTGACTGGCTGATCTACACTAGAGTTACCTAGGGCCATGCTGAGAACCTTGGTGGTTTATTGCATTAGCACCAAGTCAGTCTTGGATTCTGAGTGTGTTAAATTGAGTGTTCCCAACTAAATCCCCATCTGAAAAGCTGAGACTTTGTGTTCCACGCTCTGCAAGCATCCCCATTCCTCCCAAGAGAGTCTTGAGTTTAGTCTGCAATCCAAGCAGACTGTTTTTTTTCCCTTTGAGGCAGAGACCAATGCTCCTGGAAGCCTTCTGAAACTAAATTCTCTTTGCATAGGAGACTTGAGAATTAGGTGGGATGTCTGTCACCTGACCCACAGTTAAACTCCCTGCCCATCCATTCAGCCATCTGTTGGCTGGCTGTATTGTACCAGGCATGCTCCAGGCTCCAAGGTGGAGTGGTCCGAGAGCTTCCCTTCGAGCATACGAAGGGTTAACCGCAGACACAGTAGGTGTGAGTGCCTTTCATTCACTAGCTCATTTCATCCTCAGCAAGACTTGGGGACTGGCTGACAGATGAGGTGACTGAAGCTTGTCCCATGCAGCCCCCAGAGCACAGAGCTGGTAAGAGCGCCTCTGCCCAAGCCCTGCGGCCGTGACTCCAGGTGTGTGCTCCATCATGGCACACCGACTCTCTTAGTTGACAACCTAACTAGATCGAAGCTGGCTTATTCTCTTAGCCTGTGCCTTCTTCTCTAAAACCGAAGGGAAGCTGAAACAACCCAGTCGATTAATGGCTTTGTTTTATTTGGTTTCCCTGAGGCAGGAGTTTAATGTTCTCTAGTTGTGAGTGTGTTTATCTTTCCAAGACTCTGTACAAGCTTCCCTCACACCCAGCTCGGTGCCCACCTTTTGCTGAAGCCTCAGGTCAGTCTCTACTCTTCTGTTGAAAAAAAAAAAAAATCATCAAACTTCGCGTGGCCGGAAGGCTGGCCCTTGGTGTCTGTCCTTTGGCATTTTTGCTGCCCACCAGCCACCCTGCACATCCCAGCTCTCCCAGCATTTCTCGTTCCCCTCTACAGACCCTCCTCTCCAGCCAGGCCGGCTCCTGGATGGAAAGTTCCTGAACCCACATCCCTCGTGATTCCTGTCAAGAGTAGGAGCCGCCTCCACCCCCAGCTCGTTTTTTGGACTTTTCCAGCCTGTCCAGCTCAGGGTGGCCTCACCCCATTCTGAGCTTCATAGGTGTGTAACTGTCTGTACCACTCAGACGCGTTAACCACAGAATCTAGCCTTTGAACGTATTGTTACCCTGCAACTAGATGATCAGCTCCTGGGAAACTAGGAACCTCGTCCTGTGTAGCCAAGTGATGATGTATGAGTTGGACTCCTGGGTGCCCCACCGTCCAGCGAAGCTGGCAGCTAACCGCCCCCATTTGTCCTGAGGTCGGACTGCTCCACTCAAGGGTCCAAGCCTGGAACCAAGCCCCAGGGACCTTGGAAAGTTTCTTTGCGGCCGAGAGTCATCCTGCCCAATGTCAGGGCTGCCCTCACCTGGCAGTTCCTGATGTCGCCTCCGGTTCTCCGTTCTCCGATGCTGTGAGATGTTAGTTACTGAACTGGTTTCCTTCCTCCCCGACAGGTATTTTAATCCATAGAAGTTGTCACTGGGACCTGATGTGGTAATTTGTCCCCAGAATCACCTAGTGTGTGTGGTCCATCTTGATCCCATCTCTTCTGTTTGATTTGGGATTTTGCAGCCACATTTAAGAGGCAGTGCAGCTAGAGCTTTTGGCTTTTAGGAATTCACTGTAGGCAACCAGCAGAGGTTTGGCCCTCGAAGCTTTCGCGCGGGAGCCCTACATCCCCTGGGCCCTGCCGACCTCTGGAGCTGCCAGGTAATGTCAGGTGAACAAGAGCTGCTTGGGGCTCAGCCATGGTCATTGCCCTCCAGTGGGCCCAGTCTGCTGGTTCTCAGAGCTTCTCAGTTACTGGATCTTGTGAGCACAGAGGCATTTTTAGAATAACCGCCGGCAAGTGGTAAGCCCAAAGAGAGGCTCATTGCGTGTTTCACATGGAATAGTGGGTACCGCAGAAGGCACAGCAGGTTGCGGAGGATGGGCTGGTTCCTGTTGCTGCCCTGTGGTTAGAAGCATGATTTTAGGTGAGCGCTGCCCAATCCCTTCACCATCCTGGGCCATCAGGCCAGGGTGAGAGACTCTGCCAGTGGTCAGGCTGCCCAAGGTCAGCCTGCTTCTCTTCTAAGAAACGCCCCGAGAGGTACTGTGGAGCTCAGCTGAAAACATGGTTACCAGTGAGGGCAGTTTGTCAAGATGTTGGTCTGTGACTGAGGGCCGTGATAATTGGAAATAGAGGAAGATTCTGGAAGCCTGACACTTCCATCCCTGTGGAGCCCAGCGTGAAGCCGGAGGCAGGAGTCTAGGCGGGCGTGGGTCCCCTACCTCGTTCTTGTTCACTCGCTCAGTCGTGTCCAGCTCTTTGCAACTCTGTCGCCTGCAGCACGCCAGGCTTTCCTGTCCTTCACCACCTACCAGGGCTTGCTCAAACTCCTGTCCATTGAGTCAGTGATGCCATCCAACCATCTCATCCTCTGTCGTGCCCTTCTCCTCCCACCTTCAATCTTTCCCAGCATCCGGGTCTTTTCCAGTGAGTCGGCTCTTCACATCATGTGGCCAAAGTATTGGAGCGTCAGCTTCAGCAATCAGTCATTCCAGTGAGGATTCAGGGTTGACTTACTTTAGGATTGATGTCCAAGGGACTCTCTAGGGTCTTCTCCAGCACCACAATATGAAAACATCAGTTCTTCGGTGCTCAGCCTTCTTTATGATCCAGCTCTCACATCCATACATGACTACTGGAAAAAAACATGGCTTTGACTATACGAACCTTTGTCAGATAATTTAAATCAGATAAGGTTTCTTAATTCTTCTCAATAGGAAATTCAGAGTCAGTGTCAAGTCTCTGCTGGGAACATGCAAGTGTTGTGGGGAAAGTTTGTACAACCCGGCAAAGGTGAAACGTTTGTGCTGTGGTTCTCAAGATAGCTGATCCACTGCTGAGAAGCTGGACTTTGCCACCTGTTACTTAGAAGGTCGGGAGGAGCCTGAGTGTCTCAGAAGGTCAGCCTGGGACTTCTTGATCCATCCCAAGTCCCCACTCCTGTGGTCTGTCCGTCTGATGCTGATTTGTAGAACTTCTTGGATGGTAGTAAGTGAACTGATCTTAATGGAGTTATTCCAAGAAAGGCATTTTAGTTGTTTTCATAATTAAGGATTCTGTAGGAAAGGGACTTGTCAATGTCCTTTAATTCTCTGATCACAGGACCTCCCCCCACCCCATCCCCCTAACCAATTTTA